CACCAGCGTTCACAATTAGAGGCAGGACAAAGTAGCAGTGGTCTCTCTGACAAATAAATTGCTTGAAATATTGCATGACTTGCTACACAACACCCTTATTACTTTCAATTTCCAAGTGCAACCAAAAGATGGGTCCAATTATGACATCAATACAAGCTTTCTTTCAAAATGGAGTGAAAGAACAGTAAATCCCAGTGGACACGGGAGTTCTGCAGCAGAGATGATGTAATATATAAAAATAGACATCCTCTAACAGAAGCTGAAACTTGGGTAAACAGCACACTGCATACTATTCTCAACTGCCTTGCATGAATTTGCAATGCATGCTGTTAATAGCACAAGAGAAATCATTTCATGTTTTAAACTATTTCCTGATTTACATTTCAATTTTGATACACACTCTATAGTATAATTTCCCAATCTGTATAAATTAAATGAACATAAATACCTGATTATAACTGCAAGAAAGAGAAATAGTCCCCCCAAAGCAAGGAAATGGAGCCCACTGCAGCAGTTTTTCCATGCTGCATTTTGTTAGAAATTGCAGCACACATGCCATAGAATTGTTACGTCCACCTATTGTTCAAAGACCTTTCCACCGGGAGCTTTCTGCAGGATTTTAAAATGCAACATGATCTAGGTGAAGAGGAACCAGTAAACCTGCTGATAATGGGTGTGAAAAGCAAAGAGTATTTTTGACATTCTAAGACTCTGATGCAAACATAAAACATCAGGCATGCACACAATAACTAGGATCTAGCAAAACTTGTGTTGTTGGTTTTTTTTTAATATATACATCACTACTGTCTAACACTCTCTCCACACCTTTCTTTTCCATTCTTTACCAATTCAGTTTTCACATTTCTATTGGGCTTTCCTGGATTGAAGAATATTTTCCTTTGAGCCAAGACATTAAGAAACCATGCCTGATTCCTCAAGTGCCCTGTCTATGTGCCTCCACTGTATCTAGAATTCCCTATATTTTAGTTGCCCATTTATTTATCTATATCCCCTATGAAACTAAAAGGACAATAAGGGCAAAATATGCCTGTCCTCTAGACCTTCATAGCCCTAGAGTCTGGCACAAACCTGAAACAAGGTGGGCACTCGATAAATATTCATTAAATGAATAAAATATGTAAATGAAAATACTGAGCTTTCCTCTCTATGATACAAGAAAGAGAATACACACATTTCCTGAAACTCCATCCTATTATAATTCACAGAGAGGCACTGATGACATTATTGAAGACAAAGGCTTTAGGTTTAATTAAGCGAACAAATGCTTGACGAATTTAAAGAAGAATGAAAATGTCAAAATAATTAAGACATTTCCCCTATATGTGAATATTTTCTATTTAAGCATATAAACAGATTTTTAAAATATCATCATATGAATAAATCATAGGTATAATATGATGTGAACTGATTGTTGCAAGTTAAAATCCTAAGACCTTAATATTCTAGGAAATTTAGTAAATATACAAGTCACTGATATATTACTCAAAACATATTCTCTTACTGTTAGGCAGCAAATATTGTATTAAACTAAGAAGACTTCAGCAAAAAATTAAATAGATAAGTGAAAAAGCAAAGCCATAACACGAGTGAAAACACTATTTCTAATGCAAGAACAACAGTCCACATCAAAAAGATGACTGTCAAATAAAAGTACATAATCACACAAACACTATAGTTTTTCATGTTTCAATATCTGACAATTTTTGAAACTAACGAAACCTACCAAGTAGCCCTTAACTAAAAATGAAACCAACTTAAATCTATCTTTAAAAAAATCTACTTCAGAGAAATATAAGATACAACTTAGGAATGATTATATAACCATTATTAGAAATAGAATTTGTCTTATATTATTATAAAAAATGGAACTCATTTCCATAAGCCTCATGCATGGATCAATCTTATTACATTGGTGCCACATTTTATAGATATTGTATTATCACTGACTATAATACAAAAATTATCCCCATTATGTTAATATTACATTGTATTCAACTTATATTAACTTAATAATTTTATGCACTATTTTTTATTACCTTTTATACATCTGCACCAAGAATTTTAAACTAAGCCTAATCTACTGAAAAATGTAATACATAATTATTAAACAGTGCTTTGAAATGTATATTCATATTGTAGAAAAGGACTACTAATAAAATGTGTGGGAGATATCTTTTTATATGATCAACCGGTTTCCATTATTTCAAAAATTTTGCATTGATTGAAACTTTATGAATATGTTTTATGTTATACTGTGTTCAAATCCTAATTCAAATTTGTATAAAACAGAGCCATTCCTTGGGAAAATGTCCTTTGGGACAGTGTAAGCCTGCTTACACCTGATCAAATAAAATATTCCAAGATTAAAAAAAACGACAACACAAAATTAAATGTCACAAGGCCATCTTGGATTTTGACTGTCTCTTCTCATTCTAAAACAATTACTAGTCATGGACATTCCAAATATTACTTAAACTAAATCAAATCTCATAAAAATGGCTAAGAAATTATGACAACTGAGGAGTACCAATCCTTTGAATTTGTAATCTACTTTTTTTTTCATATTTTAAAAGAGGTCACTTTCATTCATTGAGTTTATTGTATTCTGCAGTATAGAATAATGTGAAGAGCTTTGACTCTGGAGCCAGACTTCTGGGGTTAGGATTCTGGCTCTATTACTAATATTAGTTGTGTGTCCTTAAAGCACATCCCCTAATCTTGTTCTTTCATTTCCTAATCTGTAAAATGTACTAATAATAATCCATTCCTCACAGGGTAGTTATGTATATCAAATGACTTAATTTATGTGAAATGTTTTAGAACAGTAGTACATACATAGGTACTACTCTATAGATGTTTGCTAATTAAACTATTAAAAAAAAAAAAAAACTAGAGCCATCTGTTGGAGGTAAGTAGGAATGGGAAGTGGACAGTCAATCAGAACTTCAAAGGACCAGGAGCACTTCAATTCTTTCAGCCTCGCTAGGCTGCAATGTCTGTTGGTACATGTAAACTCCATGGAATAGACAGGACAAGTTTTCTTCAGTCTTCAGTCTAATATCTCTGTATAATTTTGTTCTTTCTAAACTGAGAAGAGGGCAGAGCTCTCTTTTTATTAAAATAAAAAAAGAAATAAAAGATGACAGAATAAATATGTACCAGTCTCCCCATCACTACAATCAGGTAAGTTAAGTCGCCCCCTTAAGTATCTTCTAGAATAAATTACAAACTCCTGGAATAAATTCCCCATAAATGTAGACAGGCAGGGTCTGTAATCATGGATAAAATAAATAAAGCTTTTTTCCTCTATCCTACTCTGTACCCAGAGACAAAATAAACTTGTCCAAAGTCTAAAGAGACTGACCCCAAATTTTCCAGCCTCTGCCAAGAACCTTATCTACTACCTGCCTCTATTTTCATTATCTACCTTAAGACTGAAAATTCATGCCACATCCTCTTTTCTGGCAATCCTAAATACAGCCTCAACCTCAAAGCATCAAAATGTAGGAAAATGTTAATGAAAGCCATCTCCAATATTCCCTTCTCACTGCATTTTAAAATGCTGATTATTCTCTCTGCAAACCTCATAGACTTGCCTTGAAAAAATGTCTTGAAAACACTCCACATGGACTATTTGAGTACTCATGTTTCTGAAGAAAATGATTATAATCGGTTTAAAACTATTGCAACACATCTAATTTTAAAAAGTGTACATAAAGTATATATCATAACTCAGTGTACATTTTCAATTCAATTCCTACTTCTAAATGGGAATTAGACGAACTAGTAATTTTTCCTATTAAAAAGGAGAAAGATTATGTACTGATGTATCTTTTAAAATATTAAAGTTATATATTTTTAGGCTATACTTTTACCAGATAAAAGCCCAAAACACTGGTGCAATTTTAAAAAGTATACAATTACATCAAAATTTTATAAAATTTACAAATGGTATGAAAATGTTTAAGATTTACCACATCACTTAAAATTTAGCAGTGCTTCTCAAGTACAATATAGCAACAACCTGTGGCATTTTAATATGCATTCTCTTGCACAGAACATAAAGTTACTGCCTCATTTTAATTTGAAACTCTATACAAATACTTCATGCTTTCAGGCAAGGTCACTATAGTAGCCAAAGATATTATATTGACAGTCGACTTCCTCTAATGTGAATTAAATTATACACGATCTTTTTCCTGGGCAATAAGAAAACACAACCATAAGATTTTACTAAGTTACTTAACCAATTCCTTTCCAGAGATAAATCAGTTTTCCTTCCTTTACTCCAAATTCCCTGATAACCCCCAATCTGACCCCCAGTTTCAAAAGAGTAACACTGAAAATCATAAATTAGTCATGTGTTGGCATGAAAGAAATGAGCAAAGATATTATTATAGGCTTTTTGATTAAAATACAGAATGAAATAAAGCATGAATTCTGGTTAAAAATAAAGTACAAATAAGAAAACACAAGCGTTTTTAAACTCTCATTTCCTTTTTGACTAAGCCTTTACTCTATCTGACTAAAATTTTACTTGTATTCTCCCAAAATGCTCTCATACTGGGATTCCTGAAATTTAAAGCTTTTACCTACAGCATCATTTAAAATGTAAATTTCTAGTGGATTTCCCATAAGCTTTTGCATACAAAGCAATTAAATTTCCATTATGTCTACCTGTCTTTCTCTCATTTTTTTACTTGCAAATCATGTTAGTTAAGAACAGTGCTTCCACTCATTTAAAAAAAAAAAAAATAATAAGTAGGTTGCACTTAGGTGGACCTAAGGTGGACAAGGTGGACAATCCATCACTACATCTGCACAAATAGACTGTGCCATCACCTAAACCATTAACAGTTTTGTTTTAAGAGATTTTACTGAATCAGGGCAAAATACAAAAGAACAAGACCAAGCTAAACACATCAATATTATAAACTCATTAGTTACAATGCAAATTCACAAATAAACTTAGGTTAGTATTAGGAGACCACACACAAATTACAATACCTGAGATTTAGTGCATTCCTTTGAGCCAAAATGAAATGAGTGCCATAAAAGAGGAAAGGAAAAGATGAACATTATCAGACATGCTATAGTATATCTGCCAAAACGAAGATAATGTTAAAATTAGGTTAAGAATGACCATATAGAATTGGCTGTATGTATAATGTTCTCTATGTTTTTTAGCCATGCACTTGAAATGCACTTGAAATCATTTAAAATCACCTGTGAAGTATGATCATGCATCTTCTAAATAAACTTTTCACCCTCAGTCCCACTCTACTAGGGTTCTTTCAAAGAGAAATATTTCTGTTAAGAATAAGTAAATATAACTTAGGACTAATGAATAATAATTTTCATTTCACTCTTTTTATCCTGTGGCACCATATATACAAAACAAAATTTTGTTGTTTTCTATGTTAAAATCATGTATTTGGTGAAATAATAAATATTATATAAATATAATTAAAACACACCTTGCACACGCAAAAAAGGATCCAATATTTTCAATTATGACCATGTTGCTGCCAATCTGAACTCATCCAGTAAAATTAATATCAACATGTCACATATTAGTAAGCTAGTACATGATCCATTAGTAATCAAGTTAAATTTTTCATCCTAGTACTGAATATTCCCAATAAAAGTACCTATTGACCAGGTAAGATATTTATTAAAACCATTAAATTAAAATTAAAAAAGTAATCTTGTAATAAAAAACCCTGCACATTTTTTTAAAAATCAAACCAAAAAAGGGAAGTCACGTAGGGAAAGTGAAATATTCCATAAAGAGGGAAACAAATGGGAATAAAAGAGAAAAAGTTATAGGATTTTCCCAACTTAAGTGTGAAAAATAGGACTATAAAATTAAACCAATCAGCTTTAACACTAAATTTTAAGTAATTCACACTCCCACTATCTTAGTATGGAATCTGATTTGGAAAAATAATTCCAGAGCAGAAAGAATATTAACAACATTAGCACCAGGCTAAAATAATATATGCAACTATTAATATGTACAACTATTTTTAATCCAAATTTCCTTCTTCCATGATGCTATGTCAACACTAAAAATACTACCTTCTTTTACAGATAATGGTAACAAAAAAACCTTTCATAGTTGTTGTTTTGTTTTTTTTTATACCAAGTCTCTCCAAAGGACAAACAAAGCTCTCTTTATGATGAGCAAAAAGCTACCCTTTCCAAAGGAGCTCAATGAAATGATTCAACTATAACATTCATGTTAAATTAAAATAGTGCATGGGTAGTGAAAGGAGTAGGCGGGTAGCTGGTGGTCAAAACTGCTTAAATATTCACACACAAAGAGCTCTCAGAAATAAAACATATGAAGTGTGGGTATAAAGTATACCGTATCACTAAAAGTTACCAAAAATTGAGTATATAATTTTAAGTCTATATATTTTCCCATGTATTTTGCATTTATACTTATTTGCAAAAGGAAAGAAAAGTGCAGGTAAGCAAAACAAATGAGAAATGTAAAATAGCTGTCAATTACCTATTTTTATGTTTTTCATATTTTTATTTTAAAATTAATTTCACATATAATGACTACTCACTTAACTGTATTTATATACAGACAAACCATCTTAGACTCTATTATGACATATGTAAGAACTCATGTTACTTTCTTTTTGAAAATAGAAATCCTCAAATATATTCTCAGGGGAAATGAGCATAGTGCAGCTAAACAGAAAGAAAGGAATAAGAAAATAAGGTCCTAAAACTGACTTTATTGGGGTCTTGTACAAATCACTCATTATCTGTGCCTTGGTTTCCTCAAACATAAAAATACTTTATCAAATATTTATGAAATAAATGATGATCAAGTGGACTACAGCATTTAAGAGGATCTTTGAGCCTATCAGAAATACTTCAGATCATCTTTACACTGGGATTTTAAAAAGCATCACTTCAAATTATGTTTTCACTTCAGCGTATTAAAAACAAAAAAAATTATCAGGCAATATTCTCACAGTGGTATGCAAAGTATGAAAATAACATATCATTTTTATATATCTACTTTTGAAATAAAAAGTAAGTCTGATGCCAATCACTGGGGTAGGAGCAGGGAGAGTTCAAATTTTAGATTAAGGTAAGAGAACATTTTAAGAAATAAAAAGGCTAAACAATGTCTTTTGATAACTTATTTCAATGCTCCTTAAAACTATTCATACTATATGTGTTTCCAGCACATTTCACAGAAAGGAATTATTCAATTAAAATAGGAAATGCATATGTCTCTTCACAAAATTGCCAATAAAAAAACTAAAGATTAAAAATATTATATTTTAATAACTTACCGTATGATAGCCTCGAGGCAAAGGTGGTTTGCCCACAGGATAAGGATCCACAGTGTCAATGATTGTTTGTCTTTCACCTTTCTGGTTGATTTTTCTAAATCTCCTTCGAGATTGTCGATGAGAAGCTTGACGCTGAAAATATTCTTCATTTTCATCCATATAGTCCACCTGAAATAAACCCCCCCAAAATTTATGTCTTCAAACACAACATTCTATATTAACATTAGACGCAGAATAAAACTTACAGATAAGTCCATATTCATTCATTTTGCAAAGACATTTGTGGACAAACTATCATGACAGATTAAGTGTCTGAACTTCTCTGGAACTAACTGGTTTTGAGTAACTTTTCTTTTATGAAGAAGTATTTTCAGTTCCACTTAGGACAATATGAGTAACTCTTGAATTTCCTGCAGTTTCAAAGGGAAGGATATTTTCAGCAATCTTTGTACTGATTTATTAGTGAAAGAACTCACAGGATACATTGCCTCGCATTATGAAAGCAACTGCTTCATTGTCCTAACCCTGATGTATGTGAGTAAAGCTGTAAAAACCCCCAAATCCCAAATGACTCAAACAGGACTGCTAGCAGAATGGCTTTGGTAGATTACCTAAGGGTTTCTCTTCCTACTTTCAATCTGTAGATTCAGTTTCTCTTCTTATAGTGTTATTTAAAAAAAAAAAAAATCCTCATTTTCAACATTTTAGAAACTGATGAATGGACTAACCAGAATAAAAGTTACGTTAGGACAATCCTCCTAATACTTATATAATGAAAATGTGATTGCTCATAATCAAGGTATACTAAGATTCTAAGACTATTCTCACACTGGCAAACTTAGGAGTTTGTATAATATCGGCAAGTATAAAATCCTCAAAGAATTTTGAAGATCAAAAGTCCCTTAGAGAAACACAAAATAGCACTGATGGAGGCCAAAATCTCTAGGAAATATCTAAAATGCTTTTCAAGACCTGATGCTGGAAACTCCTACGTAACCACCCCCATTCTTCCAATCCTAAATCTTTACTCACCACCATGCTACTTTCTTACTGAAGAGTAAATTTTGTGACATTTTACCAAAGTTTTCACTAACTTTGACAAGGAAGTTTTCATTCTGATGAATTCCTCTCCTACATCATAGGGAAAAACCCTAAATCTTCTCTGAAAATAGACTTACAGCTTTCTACCAAATACTTTACTAAATGTGAATAAAAAGCTTCCACCATCTTCTACATTAGGCCAGAAAATTGGGGGACTAGTATGCTGGTTAGACACTCTGTTGAAATCTTTCTCTCTCTTTTTAACCGAATTGTAGGATTTAAAAAATATATTGATATAGGACATAGACAAAAAACAGAAATTGATTTCCTTATGTTAACTGTTGCCTGAATACATATCACCTTGACTCATCTGAAGTATTTCACTCATTCCAATTAATATTTGGAGAGCTAAAGTCCTGCACTTCAAATATTCCTCCCAAATTTCAATTAAATGGCATTATCATAGATTGATTTGACAAAGTTCAAGCACAAAACACATATGTACTTGCCCCTTTTGAGTCTTCTATCTTTTTCATTTCACTGAATCTTATAAATAATTACAATATAATGATTATAAACTCAGATTCCCAATAAAAATTATGAAATAAATATATCTAAAGTTATAAAATACATAAATACAGTATTGTAAGTACTTAGTTAAAGGGCTTTTACTTTATAATTTTTTTTTTAGGGAAAAAAGTCTTCACAGAAGTATTCTTACCACAATCATTTCAGAAGGCTCTAAAACAATGCATTCACAGCCACGCCTAAAGCTTCCTGCAGAACGCTTGCCAAAACTAGGAAGGAAAAAAAAAAAATTTATGAAATATAAATTGTAAATTTGGGCCAATTCTCTAAATAAATGAAAATGAAAAACAAAAACAACTAGTGGAGAAAGAGAAACTCTTTAATCATTATTTACATCTAATGACAAGGAACCATTCAATTTCTTAAATTTCAGACATACATTTTTCTGGAAAATTCCAATATTATGTTTTCAAACTGATAATGTAAGTAACAGAAAATCAGTATGAATGTGTTTTGTTAGGCTGTTTTAAATTATTCCCAGTTAGGTGAAGACTTAGAATATTCTAACGGATGGCAAACTATAAAATGCATATAAATTTTCTTCTATAATTTAACCTGCTTAGGTTAAGCATTTCTTTCACCTAAAAAGTGTATTTAATTTTTCTAAATTTTCTTTTAAAAAAATTTTTATTTGAGAGAGCATGAGCAAGGAGGAGGGGCAGAGGCAGAGGGAGAAGCAGACTCCCTGCTGAGCAGGGAGCCCGATGTGGGGCTCGATCCCAGGACCCTGAGATCATGACCTGAGCCAAAGGCAGATGTTTAACTGACTGAGCCACCCAGGCGTCTCTTCCTAAATTTTCAAATCAACTTATTCTAAATAAGTTTAAGGAAAAGGTATTCAACTTAAGACTTTTTTTCTTAATTCAAGTGGTTGTGCATATTACTAGCCCATTTCCCCTGAAAATTTTTCACTAGTGAACTCAGATACAGCAACTTTGCTCTATCTGTGATAGCTCCCACCTTAACACTGAAGTAGTTTTTTTTAATTTAATTTAATTTTATTATGTTATGTTAGTCAACACTGAAGCAGATTTATTCTGACACAGCTATATGCACACTAGAACCATGAAGAGAAAATCCTGGTGAAAATCCTTGTACAAATTAGCCATTGACTCAGAAGAATTTTATGGTAGGAAGATATTATTTGCACTAACACTATTACTTTGGAGATGAAAAGTTTGCATCCTATACACTGTGCTATTAAAAAATATTTCCACAAGAGTCTTTTGGGAAATGAGATCCACTAGAATCTGATGAAACTTTCTTTGCAGCCACAAGAGTCAAGTTCTACTGAACAACACAAATACGTGAACCGTAGGAGAAATAATACTGTCCCTCAGGTGACTCTTTGAATACACGGAGCAGAAAAGGCAAATGCACACAGAACGCAGTCTAGCAAAGGAGAATATATTATTTCATTTATCAAAAAATCTATTATTTCAAACATAGCCAAGAACCCAGAGGTAAAGAGTGGGCTCAAAAGAGACAAAGAGTGGGTCATGAATGCACATGCTAAGCCTAATGACTAGGCCTCTTGTCTCTAAAGCAAAGATGACTTACTCTTTGCTTACAAACCAGAAGCTATCAGGCAAGAATGAACAGGGAGAGTAATGAAAAACGTTAGCTAGAAATTCACTAAAACAGGGAGAGTAATGAAAAATTTTAGCTAGAAATTCACTAAGTCCACAAAATACTTTTGCTTTTCCTATGTGATTCTCTGAAACAACAAATATGTAAACAAACGTAAGTAAATAATCATTATTTACTAAGCTTTTTAAAATCTTGGACCAAGTTCTATTAACTGTTTTAAAAACTCGGTTCTGGAAAATAGGTATAGAGATAAAAAAGGAAACCAGATAGAGATGTATAAGAGATAAGATCTACCTGAGGTGATATTAAGATCAATTCTTTAAAATATTTTAGATGATTTAGTAGAAAGAAATGGAGAGAAATCTTCAAGTTTGCAAATGACATATAGATGTTTAGATAGTAAAGCACAAAACAAAGCCAGTAAGAATAAAGTACAACACATTTCACTAAGATTTATGTGAGTCCAAGAAAGCAGTACGTAGAGGATCCAGTCTACACAATGAAATATCCAATGTGAAAAGTGATCAAATGCACACACCATTTAATATGACATTAAACAATAAGGGGTTCTCACATTTTAGTTAAAAGACATAAATGAAAACTAGAAGTCTTTAAAGTTTAGCACAGTAGGCTGCTGACATAATAAAGAATAAATAATACACAAAACACACCTCAAAATGATAAACACACCAGGAAGTAATAAAAAATGAAAATGACTAAACCTACTCTTAGAGAAAACCATGCAGAATCTATGAAATAGCACTGCCCTAGACAAGTTTCTAAGGGGAAAAACACAGAACTGAAAAGTTTCCAATAAAAAAATTAAGGAATTCCAAAGGGCTTTCTGTAAGATCAGGGGCACAAATTAAAAGAACACTTCTTCAGTCTTATTAATAGCAGCTGAAACTTAGTAGCATTTAAGATTTTAAAATCATGATTTAAGAAAATTTATGAATGATACAAATTAAATAAGAATGCGGGCAACTTAAACATACCTACAATCCTTAAGGGTTTTAAGAAGTCAGAGAAAGAGAGAAAGAGAAAGGGAGAGAGGGAGAGAGGGAAGGAAGAAAGGGAAGTCAGAGATAGGTAAGGATTATTTCCAAGCTATGTGACTATACTCTGCTCCAAATATTCCTTGGTGCCACTTCAGAAATGGACAATTAGTCCTATCAAATGCATTTTTTTATCATTAAGTCTTATAAGAGACTACACAAAGTACTCTACAGATTCAATGCAGTCCCTATCAAAATCCCAACAGCTTTTTTTGCAGAAATGGAAAAGCCAATCTTCAAATTCATATAAAATCCCAAGGGACCTACTTAGCCAAGACAGTCTTGAACAAAGTTGAAGGACTCACACTTTTGATTTCAAAACTTACCTCAAAGCTACAGTAATCAAAACAGTGTGGTACAAGCAGAAGGACAGATGTATAAATCAATGAAATAGAATTGAGAGTCCAGAAATAAACCCACAAATCTAACCAAATTTTGACAAGGGTGCCAAGTTCAGTCAATGGGGAAAGAACAATGTGCCGGGACAATCATATTGCCATATTGAAGAAAAAAAAAAAAAAGAAGTTGGACCCTTACCTCTCACCACATACAAATATTAACTGAAAATGATCACTGACCTAAATAAAAAAGCCCAAACCACAAAACTCTTAGGGAAAAAACTGGGATAAATCTTCATGACATTGGATCTGGTAATGGATTCTTTTGGTTTTCTCTTCCAAGTTTTTATTAAATTCCACTTCGTTAACATACAGTGTAATATTAGTTTCAGGTGTAGGATTTAGTGATTCATCACTTACATACCACATCCAGTGCTCCTCACAACAAGTGCCTTCCTAATCCCCATCGCCTGTTTAACCCATTCACCATCTCCCTCCCACCCCCCTCCTCCCCAGCAACCCTCAGTTTGTTCTCTACAGTTCAGTCTGTTTTATGGTTTGGCAATGAGATTCTTAGATATGACACTAAACGCACAAGCGGTGAAAGAAAAAATAGATAAATTGGACTTCTTCAAAATTAAAAACCTCCGTGCATCAAAGGACATTATCAAGAAGCTGAAAAGAAAATCTACAGAACGGGAGGAAATATTTGCAAATCATACATCTGAGAAGTGTTTAATATTCAGAATATATAAAGAATTCCTACAATTCAACAACAAAAAGACAAACCACCTAATTAAAAAATGAGCCAAGTACTTGAATAGACCTTTCTCCAAAGAAGGTACACAAATGGCCAATAAACACATGGAAAACCGATCAACATCCTGAGTCATTAAAGAAAAGCAAATCAAAACCACAATGAGATACCATTTCACACCTGATACTAGATGTGAGATACTAAGATGGTTATAATTAAAAATATATATAGCAAGTGTTAAAGAGGATAGAGAACTTGGAACCCTTGTTATTTTGCTGGTGGGAGTATAAAGTGGTGCAGCCACTGCAGAAAACAGGTTGGTGCTTCATCAAAAAGCTATACAGAGTAACCATATGACCCAGCAATCCCACTCCTAGCTAAATACTCAATAGTACTGAAAACAAGGACTCAAAGGGATAGTTGTACATCAAAGTTGACTACAGCATTATGCACAAGAGCCAAAAGGTGGAAACAACACAAGTGTTCATCGACAGATTAATATTTAAACAAAATGTGATAAATACATACATTGGGAGCCACAGAAAGGACTGAAGCTCTGATACATGCTACAGCCTGGATCAGCCTTGAGAACATTCTGCTAAACGCAGTAAGCCAGTCATAAAATGACAAATATAAGATTCTACTTATAAGAAATATATAGAGGGCGCCTGGGTGGCTCAGTTGGTTAAGTGACTGCCTTCGGCTCAGGTCATGATCCTGGAGTCCCGGGATCGAGGCCCGTGTCGGGCTCCCTGCTCGGCAGGGAGTCTGCTGCTCCCTCTGACCCTCCTCCCTCTCATGCTCTCTGTCTCTCATTCTCTCTCTCTCAAATAAAT